CATTTTTTGATAAATTACATTCACCTGCAATAGTCCTCGACCCAACTCCTGGATTTATTCGAATTTGAGCTAAGACATTAATATCGTTGACTGGCTTTTTTCTTCGAACATACGGAACTCTAGGTTTATCAAATGTGTTATGTTTGAGAAGAGTTGTAGATAAACGCCAAAAAAATTTTATACTTGGTTGCATTCTGTCGGGATAACAACAAAACATCTATAGAAATATAAACATAAAATATAACATGGAAGAATTACAAGTAAACGAGGTATCAAGGAGATATAGAGCAGACATAGAAAGAAGTCTAGACAATACACCAGTTTTAAACATGGCCAACATAGTAGAGAAGAAATGGAATAACATAGAGAATGCCATAAAAACACCAACTGAAAAAAATATTAATAAGAAAAAAAAAACGCAAAAAAGAAAGGAATGGTTAGATAACGAATGTGATGAAGAAATTAAAAAAAAACACAAACTTAGAGAAAAATACCTACAAACAGGGGACGATTCAGACGAAAAAAAATATATAGAACAAAGAAAGGCTGTTAAAAAATAATTATTAATTCTCATTTATTTAATTAATAACTTTATGTTCGAAGTATTATACTCTTAAAAATTAACACTGATTATAAATTCAATACAGATCCGTACCAATAAAATTTGAATTACGGTCCATATTACCCAAAAACCGTCATTGAATGCCATTGTGTAATACACCACTGGATGCAGGATGAAAAGTTATTTCAAATAATGTTATAAAATGTCCAGTTCCATATTTAAAAAAAAATAAGTTGAGGGTGGTCCGGAGAATACGAAACGTTGGATGTAAAATATGAAAACGTCAAATCAAAGAAAATTTACTATCAAATAAAAAATCTTTAAAATATTTTTTGGTAGTTCTGAAAATAAATGAACGATAACCAAAAAACCAAAAAGGTCGAATTTCATTTTATCGAAATATCTCGAGAACTGGGCTTGCTATTTTCGATTAATTTCCACCGCTAGATAATGCTTCGAGATACGTAACTTTTTCTCCATTTAACCGACTTTCTAACTAGTATGGTTTGGAAATTACTAATACAATCCCATTAAAAAAGTGGCCACCCTGTATAAACTTTTTCTTTCTTGATTTATATTTTAAAATTTCGTTGGTCAAATTGCGTAATTTTTTATTTTACTTGTTTTGAATTTACTAATAAAGTTTAAAAGTTATATGTGCGCTGGCTATAACTAATTAATGAAATAATACCTATGAAGAATAAAACTAGGTAATAACAAATATACAGGGTTGGCCAAACCTCTGTCGTAGTTCTATAACTCCTATTATGCAAATCTTAACGATTTATTCGAAGTATACCTGTCAATGGTGGTCAAAACCAAATATCCCAAAATTATTTTCTTGTGTACAGGGTGGCCCAATAGTAAATTAGGCAAATCACTTATTTATTTTTAAATGGAATGACCCAACTTTTTTTCCAATTTTAGGTACTCTATGGTCACTAGTGCATACCCATAAAATATTGTTTCTAACATCCTACCCCTTTCGCAGAAAAAGAAGAAATACCAAAAAATATTACATTTTCAGACGCCTATTAAAATATGCAGTGCTCTCTCGAATTTGACGTTAGAATTTAAAAAACTACAAATGTATAAAGCCAATAGACCAAAGATTTTTTTAGACCAAGTTTTAATTTTTTATTTTGTACAGGGTGGTCACAAATTAATTTCAATTTCCAAAAATTTCTAGGACATTTTTTTCAAATTTTTCAAATAGAACACCCTGTATTACTATTCATCGATGAAACGAGAATTTTATACCCTTCGACTTCCCCATGTACTTTCCTATACCTATCTGTCGTCGTTTAAAAGTAAATTCCAAAAAGACATTGATATATCAAAAATCCAATTTCTACCATGGTTTTATTGAATGTGAACATTCAATCAAGTAGGCTGGGTCTTAATGAAGTGTCAGATTATTTATTAATGAAGTGTCAAGTTATTTTTACTGATCGCGATAATTCTTCTATTAATAATGAATTTTGGGAGAATCCGACAGAAATTGTTTATTGGCAAAAAGAATTTATTATCAACGATATCCCGATAGACGCATCCCAGATCAAAAAAATGTTGAAAAGTTTCATGAAAGATTTACCGAAACAGGAAATGTTGCTTATAAAAAACCAATAATTGACAAACGTGCTACTGATAATGATAACCAATTATCTGTAATTTTGACAGCGATAGAAGATCCTTATGTAAGTCAAAAAAAGATTGCCGAAGTAGTAGGTATAAGTAGAACATCCGTTAGAAGGATTTTAAAACAGCATCAATATCATCCTTATAAAATTGCATCAAGAGCTGAAAGACAGCGATTTTGATAATAGAATGGTGTTTTGTAACTGGGCGCAAACTAAATTGCAACAAAATCCATTTTTTTTTTTTTTTGATAGAGTGCTGTTTTCTTATGAATCTACATTCCACAAGAACGGATTCGTTAATGGACATAATTTCCACTATTATTCCACGGAAAATCCTAACATCATCAGAACACATAGCCAAGAAAGATGGAGTGTAAATGTTTGGGGAGGTATAATTAGGGATCATGTTATTGGGCCGTATTTTTTTAAAGGCAACTTAAATGGTCTGATGTATTTAGATTTTTTAGCAAATCATCTTCCTACTTTACTTGAAAACATTTCCCTTGCTGTAAGACTAACAATGTGGTACCAACATGATGGGGCAGCAGCGCATTTTTTTCGCGAAGTGGCAGATGAATTAGATGAAAAGTTTCCAAATAGACGGATTGGTAGAAATGGTCCAAAAAAATGGCCAGCTCGATCACCTGACTTAACAAAACCCGATTATTTTTTGTGGGGTTATATTAAAAATCTAGTCGATCTTACGCCACCTACAACACCTGAAAATATGAAAGAAAAGATAGTGCAAGCTTTCCATTCCATTACACCTGATATGCTTAGAAACGTTTCTCGATCATTCGCCCAACGAATAAATGTATGCATTAGAGAAAATGGCAGACATTCTGAGCATCTTTTATAAAATGTAAATTTATGTTTTAGGATAAATTTTATTATCGTAATTTTCTTCCTTTTGAATTTATTTTATAACGGCGACAGATAGGTATAGGAAAGTACATAGGGAAGTGGAAGGGTTTGAAATTCTCCTTCAGTTGATGAATAGAAATACAGGGTAATACATTTGAAAAATTTTAAAAAATTTCCCTCGAAATTTTTGGAAAGTGAAATTAATTTGTGACCACCCTGTACAAAATAAAAAATTCAAACTTGGTCCAAAAAAATCTTTGGTCTATTGGCTTTATACAATCGTAGTTTTTTAAATTCTAACATCAAATTCGAGAGAGCACTGCATATTTTAATAGTCGTCTGAAAATGTAATATTTTTTGGTAATTTTTTTTTTCTCCCAAAGGGGTGGGATGTTAGAAATAATATTTTGTGGGTATGTACTAGTGACCATAGTGTACCTAAAATTGTAAAAAAAGTTGGGTCATTCCATTTAAAAAAAATTAAGTGATTTGCCTAATTTACTATTGTACACAAGAAAATAATTTTGGGATATTTGGTATTGGCCACCATTGACAGGTATACATCAAATAAATCGTTAAGATTTGCATAGTAGGAGTTATAGAACTACGACAGAGGTTTGGTCAACCCTGTATATGAAGATTTAAACTCGTTTTCTTACCATTCCAGAGAAAGAGTTTTTCCCACATATTCAAAGTTTTCTATGGATTTTTGATACGTATGATAGATATTAAAATATTTTTGTTCATTTAAAATATTTAAATTATACAGTGTGAAAATTCCATTATAACTGGCCCTATTAAAGATAAAAAAAAAACAGTTACAGAACGGTACACAGCATTAAATTCTATATTTTAAAATTTGTTTCGAATATGCAGTATGTTCAATAACTTCAGCCTGGAACAAAATTATCTTTTTTAAATGAATCACCCTGTATTTTATATTATATTTGAACTACCCTTTGAATTACTCCATTAGGGGGCGTCCATTAATTACGTGAGGTATTTTTGAGGATTTTTTGACTCCCCCTCCCCCCTGGCGAGATTTGGTAAGATTTTCCTTAACTCCCTCCCCCCCTTCCCTAATCTCACGTGAGATTTTTCCAAATTCGTGTTTTGGGTGTAAATGTGTTGGATTATTAAAAAAAAAACAAAAACACAATATGTTCCATTACTTTTATTTAAGACTAGCAAAGACTAGTGTTTGAGAGTGTTGCAATTATTTAAAATCACATTAATAAAATTAAATGATAAATACTTAAATGGAAATTAATAAAAAATAAATAAACATAATTATAAGATTTTTCCATATTTTATTCTAGAAATACTTTCACTATAATTTAACTTTACTTTCACGCAATTTTACACCGTTTTCTAGTAGAAAAAAAATTACGTGAGATTTACGAAAACCCCCCCTCCCCCCCAAGTGAGATTAAGAAAGATTTAGTTTTATCCCCCCCCCCCCCTTGAACACCTCACGTAATTAATGGACGCCCCCTTAGAACAAGACATTTTTTTCCTCAAAAATGGCTTACCAGATTTTTTCAAAATTTGCCCATTAGTTACTTATTTGATGAGTATATCGAGGGTTAAGAACCAGAACGACTTAACAGAAAGAAATTGCAAACTGAGTTATCAAAACATTATATTACGGAAACCTTAATACTTTTAATTTTTGTAAAAGGTACTGTCAAAAGTACAATAATAGGGAATAGGTACAATAATGTATTCGAAATTAGAATCAAATTATAAACCTTAATGATGCATATTTTCGACATATTTTTAGCTCTCCAGAGCATTAAAGAAATTTCTGTTACGTCATTATGGTTCTTAACCCTCGATATTAGGTAAAGTTTTTGAAAATTTTTGAACGTATTATTTATTTTTAGGTCAGGTAAGATAAACTTTAATAAAAATATTTTGTTTTTTTTTTTCAGAGTCGTCAATAAACTGGAAGGCTATTTTCTACAATTGAATAAAAGAAAATATACATAAGTTATGTTACCTTATCTAATCACAGTATCGTTAAATTAATATAAAATTTATTATACATAAGTCAAAAGATATTTAATTCAATGTGTTCTTACTCTAAAAATGCCATTAACTGGTGTATCACTACTACAAAACTTTATATAAGAAGTCACGTCGCAATTTTCTAATTTAATAATTCCATTTGGTACCTCTACATATTTAGTGTGAGAATCAATATCATGCATGGTTATATACAAAAAATGTTTATTTATTGTTATTATTTTTTCAAAACTAAATTATTTTTCACTTTAAAAAGTTTTATTGATAACATATCACGGATTTGTTCATTTTCGTACCTTCTCCTTCAAATAAACTGTTGGCCACTCGAAATTACTACATAGATTTTTAAGCAAAATTTAGAGTTTAATATTTTGAATAGTAATGCAAATTTTTGAACGCGGCTTGCAGATTTTAGGAGCTACTTTTTTTTCGGATTAAGCTGCATGACGTATATTTATCTTAGGACCATAGGTTTATTATATACGAGGTGATCAATGAAGCCATGCAAAAAATCTATGTGTAACTTTGAGTGATCTGATAATTATGCAATCTCTGGAAACACTGTTGTGAAAAGAGTTCAAATTTGGTAATGCATGAACTATTGTGGGGTATTGTTCTCTCTAATTAAATAAAGATAATATTTACGTAATTACCTGTTTCTAGAAGTGAAAAATATTAACTTAATTCTAAATTAAATCTTAATACTTTTTGATCGTTAAGTTTACATTCAATGAAATAGGGCCAATAATATACCCTTAAAATACCAGTGCAAATATTTTTAATTTCTGAGAATATTATGTGCATATCAGAATACTTAAATGTAGTAACAAGAGAAATTTTTTTCAATGTTTATTGTACATGTTCACCGATTTAATTACGAACATTGACCTGCAATTAATAGAGATAGGCGGTACCTAAACCGTATGGCTCGTATAATTTTTTCCAAACCTGTATAGATAGAATATCATAAATGTATCTTAATGCATGAGATGGTTTTCAATTCCCGTCAAAATTATTGGTACTTTTTATATTTTTCTTTTTTGATCGTTCAAAAATTAAAAAAATATTGAAACGTACCAAAGACAAGCCACTTTAAATATTTTTATGTTCTCAATTGTAATTTTATTTTTAATATTAGCAGCTATGGAGTTTAAATATTGTTGTATTTCTAATAGTTTTCGCTGTAATCTCGCTTTATATTTAATTGTAATGTAAAGAGGTAATTTTGTTTAACGTGACCTAAATCTAAAAACTATCAGAACTATATTATATGATTCAGTTTTCGACGACTCTATAAATATTGTTGTATTACATTTAATTTTCTCAAATTAATTATTTTAGTGTATTTATTAGAAGAAATTTGTATTCTACCTTTAGCGGTTTTGTGTATTTGTCCTATACATATTTTGATCTTGTCAACTATTGTGCCTTTTAAAAGTGTTTTAACCAAAATGTTATGTATATGTAGATAGGTATAGTTAAGTTATATTATTGTTTCTGTAATGTGTTAGGTATTTACTATATTAAATGTAATATTAGCTCTCAGATAATGTACATACAAAAACATTACGTGAAATTTTTGACTTATTTTTTTTTTGTTATAATAAAAGTATTTATGAAACAAAATGACGTTTTTTATTTGGCTGTGGATGGGATGGATTTCTAATCATTTTCACATTGGTGATAAATTATAATTATCCCAATAAGCATGTAACCTATAAGGCAAAGCGCTTTACAAACAATTTATTAAGGGTTAGGGTAAAAACATAAAATATTGCAAGTAACATAAAAGAACCTGAAATTAACATTTATTAAATTTTGTTGATTCATTGATTATAAGGATGCAGATAAGTTAAAAAAAAAAATAGAATGAGATACATGGTGCAATTCTGAGAATAGTGCCAAATCAGCTTCTGCTAGATATCTAATAACGCCTAATCAGGACTTTTGCAATTGTTTCTTTATTGTTAACACATGTAGATCACTCTTAATTAAAATAAATAATTTTTTAGAAACGCTTTTTCGAATCCTCAAATCGTTTCTAATGAAAATTACTGTTTCGTATTTAATATAGCGCATCCCTCATTATAATACAAACTAGCGGACCCGACAGACGTTGTCCTGTCTTAACTAGGAATATTGATTTTGAATTGGTATAATAGTTCAGTAACTGAAGGGACCAACCTGTCATTAAGTTGGTCCAGATTTCCGTTGTGGCTCAACTCTTAGGTCTCGGCGATCGCTTCCAAGGTACAAAACTTTTACCAACTCTGCTGCGTTGGAAAGGGCCCAAAATGGACCCTAAAACTGGTTTCCCGCCAATATCTTCCACAATATGCAAATTAGAGAATTTTTGTTTAGATAAAAAAGAAAGATCTTATCATTATCTACAAAAATGGTCCCTATCATTTTTGTCGGGAATTTGACAGGTTTCGAGATAACCGCAATCAAAAGTCCCCTTGTTCAGCCCCTGCTTTATCTCTATAGCAATGCTGATATTTTTCGATGACTGAAAGTTCATTACAATGGGAAAACCCATAGCTATCGATCCATGTGCCTTGAAGCCCGTTATTTTCTATCAAGAACATTGAAAAAGGGGCCAAAATTGCGTTTTCCTACTATTTTGGACCACTTTATAGTAATTCATTCATATTTTTTTTTTTTATAGTTTTTATCCCACTTTTGTTTTAAGTGGGATCTTGAGATGTCTCGAATGATCTCAGAAATTTTTTTCCAGTATCTTCCTGGCCTTTTAAAACAAAATTAATTTGTTTATTTGCATTTTTCATACGTTTTCGGAGTTCTAGAAATCTCTGAAACAAGCAGTAATTAAAAACTCATATTTCATTATATTGTTATTCAATGTACACCATTTTAAAAAAATACATTCGAAAAGTAGACACTCTAAGCTTTGACGATATTTGAAGCACACATTCTGTCAATGTTATGTCAAACGCCATAAGGTTACATAAAAAAAGTTTAATTTAATATGGTGGTTAATTATTCTTAAATTTTCTAATTTTCCGCGCAATTTTCCTAATTTTTTCTTTCATAAGAACCTTCTCCTAACAATAACAAACACAACAAAAAAAGAATTAGCGAAATCGGTCCAGCCGTTCACGCGTGATGCCGTGACCAAGGGAAATAGGGATTCGTTTTTATATATATTTGACGATTTTTTAATTTTTCGCGCAATTTTCTTAATTTTTTCTTTCATAAGAATCTTCTCCTGATAATAACAAACATAACAAAAAAAGAATTAGCGAAATCGGTCCAGCCGTTCACGCGTGATGCTGTAAATAGGGATTTATTTTTATATACATATACCAATAAAAACTCCTAGGATGGATATTTTGATAAGTAATTGAGGTATTTTAATTTTGTAACAGCCAGTTCACAGAGCACCAAAAGAGCTTCAGTTTTAGATATAAATTGATTTTAAATAGTTCAATATGTAGATGGCGCTGCGTTTAATAATTTTTTTCGACGGGAGGATCTTTCTTATGTAGCGCATCTTGTAAAAAATGCATTTTAAGCAGATTTTGTTCTATGAAATTCGAAAATTCTAGCCATTTTTGATATACAGAGTGGGACACTCAAAAGAGTTTCATCCTGTTTTTCAGCATTAATCATTGAAATTTAAGAAAATGCCAAAATAGGTCATTTTTATTCCAAATTAAAAAGATTTTTACAATACAGACATCTGTCATATGTTAACCCCCTCCCTTGCACTTCTTCAATACCTTAATTTTAAATAGGTAATGTACCATGTATGGCATATCATTGAAAAGGTAATTTAATGGGGGATTCAGGAATATTTCTGTACATTGCGTTACTCAAATTTTATCGCCCTCTATTGGGATAAAAAACTACAACGTATTGTAGAGTGTGACACTGCTGTAGCACATCACTAAAAATCTGATGTGTCCAACACATGACTTTCCTATCTAGTTATTATAGGCTTTTTTCGGTTATTTTGTACAACCTATTGCAGCATCTCTATAAATGTTTAGAAGATAAACTAAATATATACATTGTCCACATACATCTACCTCGAAACATTTTTCTATAGATATTCATTGAAAACGAAAATACTGAAAAATTTAAATTTAGCACTTCTTCATTACGGTCCATTTTAGAAAAATCATGTATAAACAAAAATTATAGAGATCGATATCGCAAACAACTTATAGTTCAACAATTTTCATGAAAATCAGAATTTTGCACATTTTGTCAAATTTCTAGAATACGGATCATTTCAGGAAATTTTGACATAAAACAAAAATTATAGATAATAATATTAGAAGTAACTTTTATTTAAACAATTTTCTTCTCCAAACATAAATAACAGATATAATCCATAAAATATAAAAACGGCCTCTCATAAAGTACCCCCCAGATGTTCCGACTTTGTCCAAAATCTAATCTTTTCATGTCAGGCCGAAATAAACTTTAAATTTAAAATTTAATGTTTTTTTCTTTATCCGTTTTTGAGTTTTCTTCAAAATTCGAAATTTACACATTTTCTCAAATATCTCGAATACGGTCCATTTTAAAGAAATTATGTATACAATAAAAATTATAGAGAATTATAGCACAAACAACTTTTATTTGAACAATTTTTATAAAAAATTATTTTTTTTACATTTTTTCAAATTTCTCGAATACGGACCATTTTAGGAAAATTTTGTGAAGAACAAAAATTATAAATACTTATATTAGAACTTTTATTTGAAGAATTTTTTCCTCCAAACGTAAATAACAGATTTATTCCATAAAATATAAAAATGACCACCTATAAAGTACCCCCCCAGATGTTCCGACTCTGCCCAAAATCTAACCAGTTCATTAGACGCTGGAATAAAGCTTAAGTTTAAAATTTAATGTTTTTCTGTGTATCGGTTCATTAGTTATACGACACACACACACACACACACACACACACACACACACACACACACACACACACACACACACACACACACACACACACACACACACACACACACACACACACACACACACACACACACACACACACACACACACACACACACACACACACACACACACACACACACACACACACACACACACACACACACACACACACACACACACACACACACACACACACACACACACACACACACACACACACACACACACACACACATACACATACACATACACACACACACACACACACACACACACACACACACACACACACACACACACACACACACACACACACACACACACACACACACACACACACACACACACACACACATCATCGCGAAAATAGTCAAAACGGATTCAGGGGACCTCAAAACGTAAAAATCCGTCGAAAACTCAAGGTCGAAAAATATCATGATTCCTATACTTTCCTTATATCTGTATACAGAGTAAAAAGGTAATTTTATGAGGAATTTAGAAATATGACTGATCATTGCGATACTTTTAATTGTACCGCCCTCTGTTGGGATAAAAAACTGTACGTATTATAAACTGATACTTTCTTTGAAAGCAAATTTAATTACTAATTCATTGCACCACAATATTTATATAAATATCCTCCATATTGCACTTGCAATAATTTTAAAATTAGTCATGCATTATTTTAAACATTATTGCTAACTCTATTTTGTTGCAAGTGCAATATGGAAATATTTATATTAATGTTATGTGGTGCATTGAATTATTAATTAAATTAGCTTTCAAATGAAGTGTCACACTCTATAATACGTTACACGTTTTTTTATTCCAATAGAGGGCGCTAAAATTAAAAGTATCACAATAAATAGTCATATTCCTGATTTCCCCATAAAATTACCTTTTCAATGATGCGTACATGGTACATTCCTTATTTAAAATTAAGGGGTTGGAGAAATGGAAGGGAAGGGGTTGACACATGACAGATGTCTATATTTTAAAAATGGGTACAATTTTGAATAAAAATCGATCTCTTTTAGCATTTTCCAAAAATCCAATAACAAATGCCGAAAATCAGGATGAAACTGTTTTGAGTATATCAAAAATGGCTAGATTTATCGAATTATTTTATAAAACAAAATCTGCTTAAAAATGCATTTTTTACAAGATGCGCTCCTAAGAAAGTTCCTCCCTTTGAAAAATAAATATCGAGCGCAGCGCCATCTACATATTGACCTATAAAAAATTAATGTGTATCTAAAACTGAAGCTCTCTTAGCGCTCTATGATCTAGTTTTTACCGAATTAAAATATCTATTACTTACCAAAATATCTTGCCTGGGAGTTTGCATTGGTACACACTGTATAAGAAAGATATGGGAAAAAGAAAAGGGCTGTTTTTAGGGTTTTCCCAGAAATTATTCGAATTTTTTTGTCGTAAAATCCATCCTTGGACTTCAACGAACATTTAAAAAAGAGAGTTGGTAAAATTAGTCCAGGCGTTGTTGAGTTATGCGCTTACCAACACATTTTGCGATTCATTTTTATATTATAGATTTCTTCGCATTTTTTACGCTAGTATACAATAAAAATATATTTTCAGCACCAAAACTAACCCATATTACTTTTCAACATTAAGTTTAACTAAAAATAGAAGGTACTCTCGCATATTTTGAACGTTTG